CGCGAGAGGCTGCCTTCGTGCCCAAAGGCACGCCTTAACTTGGGAGCATCCTATTGAAGCAACCTAGTCCTCTGTCCAGACCCGCACTCCTCTGTGTACTGCTTTCTGACCAGTTTGGCTTCGCCGGGCAGGAACCCTTCTGGTGTCCTAGCTGGTGCACCTCTGCAGAAGGAGGTGCTGTACGCTGCCCTCGGGCTTCCTTCAGCCGGTGCCTGGGCAGCTATGCAGAACAAGAACTATATTCCAAATGCCCAGAGAAGCTGTGGATGCCCCATCCCTGGGAGTGTTCAAGGCCAGGCTGGATGAGGCTTTGAGCAACCTGGTCTAGTGGAAGGTGTCCCTGCCCATGGCAGGGGGGTTGGAACTAGATGGTCTTTAAGGTCCCTTCCAACCCAAACCATTCTGTGATTCTATAAATAAAAGGCAGCACTGCATTAAGCCTGAGTCTCGAGCTACTCTGCTGGCTGTGTGTTTAAGGCTTTGGTGTGTCAGTGTGTGAGGAAGAACTTGCCTTTTTCTGGTCTCCTATACTAGAAGGAGATTCTGAGGGTAACTACCCAATTCCCTGGGAACTTTTTACCACGGAAGGTGTGCAATCAAGTGTTTAATTCTTTTCAGGATTAACATTCAGGTTCCCAAAGGCAATAATCTTTTATCAATTTCTATAGTCTGTACTTCAGTAGTGCAGAAATATATCAGTGTTGAGGGAACGTGATGGTGGACCTTGCGGAGATTTCTAAAGTGTGAATCAAGAACAGTGGGCAAGACAAAATAAGAACGAACATGTGCGAAGAGATTCAGAAGGGGACTTGTGCCTGCCTAGGAGGGGCTGAAGTTGGGTTTTATGTGTGAGTTCATTGAAGACTTCCACTGCTGAATGAACCTGTCTAGTGGAAGGGGTCCCTGCCCATGGCAGGGGGGTTGGAACTAGATGGTCTTTAAGGTCCCTTCCAACCCAAACCATTCTGTGATTCTATGATAGAGGGTGGTGCAATGCCATGAGTTCCTGAATGCCATAAAGGAATTGTTCTGAGTCAAACTTTAACTTCTTGCTCTCACATCCCAATGTATTTGAAACAGTTGAGACCTGGAATCTTAACTGTCTGAACTGGCTGTGTGGATGTTTGAGCTTGCTGTGGGTGGCAGGACCATCTTACTGCAGCTGCTTCCAGTAAGCCAAGGTCACTAGCTATGTACAGGGATAAGGAAAGGTCTTTGGAAAAGAACAACAATGTAGTCTTAGGAAGGATGAGAATCTCTGGTCTGTGGTCAACTAGTGAAAACATGGTTAATTGTTCCATGTGTGGAATGACTTTCTGTATTAAGACAGTGACAGCTGGCTTAAGACCTTTTCGGGATCGTCTTGTGCTGTTATTAACCCTACCGTTGGTCCAACATTTGTGCAGATGCTCAGATGACAACATAAGAGAAGCAAATGCTTTTACAGGTGGCCAGTTGGGTTCATGCGCATGGCGTTTTTCAAACGTGCCATACTTCCCTCACTAACTAAACTCACAAACTAAAAGCGTGCTTGCAGAACCAACAGTATCTATGTGAAATACTGGACAGGCAGCCAGAAGGTAAAAGAGCAAGCCTGGCTTCTTCCCATCACAAAATCATGTTTCATTTAGCACAGTGCAGCAAAACAGCCACCTTGTATAGCTGCGAAATTACGTACAACCACCCCTTGAATAAAGCCTTTTTGAAGTAATGAATGTGTAGGACATTAAGATGTGAATATTCAACTAAAGACTTTGTTTTAGAAAGTCTTGATGCTTTTCTAATTGCATTTCTTTTTTTCTAAGGGTCGAAGTTTGTCATTACTATTTTAGCTGAGAATTTAATAAGCTTTTTTTTTTTATAAACCCACTAGAACAAAGACGACAAAAAGTAGAAGAGTATCTATCAAGAAAAAAGACCTTCTCTGGTGTGCCCATTAAAGAAAACCAGGCATCGATCAGGTAGTATTTCTGCTATGGTTTACATTCCTTTAGAAAGATCCATGGTTGGTGGGAAAGAGGCAAACAGTGGTTCTTGCAGAGGATGCTAGCCAGAAGGTGAGGCCATGCAATGAGACTGGTGACCACGTGGACTTCATAAAGTCCTTTTATCATCAGCAGATACTAAAGGTTTTTGTTAACTAAGTGCATAATAGATGCAATTCATGAAGTATATTATCTGCTCAACTAGAGACCGGGTGGGATACCTTCACGGCAGTCCTCTTATTTCGGATACCACTTTGCTGTTTGCCTCTAACCTTCCTTCTGCAAGTAATGTGTTTTCCCTTCTTTCTACTCAGGCTATGCTGCGTGTGTTCACAATTCACTTGATCTAGCTTCACTGTGGTTTTGTAGTTACTAATTCACTATATTCTGCTAAAAGCAAATAGACTGTAATAAAGCCCTGCCTGTGGGATGGCCAGCAGGTAGACGTAATGTTCTGTAAACAGAACGTGGGCACCTATCATCAATTAGTGCTGCTTCTTATTGACTTGTATTTAAATGCCCAAACTTTAGACAACAGCAGGAAGTTTTAGTGTAAGTCTTTTTATAGAAACCTCTGTTGCTTATTTATTAAACAGGTGTGTGAAGGAGTACAGAGGGTCCTAGCTTTAACTGGTGTTTGTGGTGTAGCAATGTTGGTTTTTTTTAATGGTAAATTTCAGCCTGAAATTTGTTCCCATTGAAACGGGAAGTCTTGCTTGCCATTCTGTATTCTTGAGGTGGCATGGTCCCTTGTTCAGTAGCACAGAACTATTAGCTAGTACAGATCTAACTGACCAAGGACCTGTGAATCTAAAATGCACATAAATGACAAGAATAATATGCCAAAGACTTTTCTGTGCGGCAGAAAAGGCAAGTGCTTTTGTGTTACAGAAAGCTATGTTGTGTTAGAAAATCAGTGCCAACTGCTTTCATTGTACCAATACTCTTAATTTAGCACTTGATCTACTTTTCCTTGCTTTCAGTTTCTTCTCTGGCTATTAAATTCCAGGGCTTTTCATAATCTTCAGTTAACTCACTGTTTAGAGGCATTGTGTGTGTGGATATGACATGCTTCCAGTTTGCAGATATTTCCCTTTTGTGAAGCTATCACTGTTCCACACTGACTACCTGAAAGGAGGTTGGAGCAAGTTGGGTCTCTTCTCCCAAGTGACAGGAAAAGAGGAAACGGCCTCAAGTTGCCCCAGGGGAGGTTTAGATTGGATATTAGGAAAAATTTTGTCACCAAAAGGGTTGTTAGGCACTGGAATGGGCTGCCCAGGGAAGTGGTTGAGTCACCATCCCTGAAAAGATTTAAAAGATGTGTAGGTGTGGCATTTATGCACATGGTGTAGTGGTGGACTCAGCAGTGTTAGGTTTACAGTTGGACTCAATGATGTTAAAGGTCTTTTGCAACCTAAATGACTATGACTTCTGATCAGTTCCGTTAACTTGTGTGTTCTGTCATCGGTGATGTGGAGGCAGTAGCATGATGCAGGCTGCCTTCTGCACCATTTTAAAGTTGTGATTTATCTTTATTTTCACTAATGTACCTTCACTTTCAACTTAGCTGGCTCCTAGAAGATAATCTGATGCAAAGATACCAGTTGCTAACTGGAATACTAATTTTCAGTCACGTGCAATATTGCCACATTTCATACAATGCACCATGAAGTATTTGAGGAAGAATTTGGATTTGTAACTTTAAACTGAGATGTTTTTCTTCTTAGCTGTAAATATATTTTCATAGTTGCTAGGAGACAGTACTGGTCTTGGTGGTTTTGTTATTCACTGGGTAGTCTGATGCCAGCTCTGGTGCCTGAGTGCAGGTTTTGGAACCTGCCAGTGTGGTAGGAACCACATATCCTTGTTCAGACTCGCCTCAGATGATTGCAGTAGCTGAGCTTCAACTCCTTGTGCTGCTCCTCCTTCTCCCTCAACTGCAGCATTTAGAAACTTGGCCTTCTGTAGCTGATACATTGTGCCAGACAGGTTGGTGCTCATCCTTAACCATGAGAATGGCACCAGCTGTTTTCTCCTCTGTTAGCCAGCCCTTCATGGTGTAAGAAGGGATGGTTTGCAGCTGGGCCCTAGGCAGTGGCTGCTCAGCCATTGATTCTTTCTGAAGAAAGTACAAGCTGAACAGAAATGCTTCAGCGTGAATTCGGACTGCCACCTGGACCATGTGAACTTATCCAGAAATATGTTTCTCGGTTAGGTTGCTGAATGATTTAAAATGTCATCTCTTTCTTTTTTTTTTTAGTAGTAGCAAAACCAGGAGAGCAACTAGAAATAAACTGCAAGATAAAATACAGCTCTCAACATCTTCAAAGCCAGAAATGGTAAGTTTTTGTCTGATACTCAAATGCTGATAGCATTGTTCTGTGGTTACAAAATTCCGCATAAACTGTATTGAATTTATATGACTTTCAGAGCGTGAGAAGCTTGCCGGTGCAGTTTGTTGCAACATTATTCAGTGACTGTTCATTATATGCTTTTTGGAGAGCTGTTGTGTTATTGTATGAAATGGATTGTATTGATATTCAATTTTTACCTGACTGGAGATGGGGTTAAATGAGGATACCATTGTTGCTGAGATAATGATTAAATTCTAACCTCTATTCTTGAGACTCTCAGAACTTTTAAATGTATTGTCAGTCATTGGGGAAGTTAGTTAAAACCTGAGCAAGGTCTTCTGCCAGAGTAGAAAATTATTCTATTTTTACTTGGGGGGAAAAAAACCCCAAACAACTAATAAAATTAACTGTTGAATGTGTGTGGGCTTTCAGTTGCGATGCTGGTAAAACATGTAATCCGAAGTAGAGGCTAATACCTAATCAGAGTTCAAGGGAATGTTTTCCCTGTATCATTTTGTGTCACTTTTCCATAGGTAAGATGCACATGGTTGTGCTGCTTAGAAATAGCAAAATACAGATTCTTATCCAGACCTGTTCTTGGGGACAGGTGAGGAAAAAAATAGACACAAAACCTGTGTGTGTTAGATAGTTTTGAGTCTGGGTTCCAAAAGATTTGAGAGACGACAAGGGGTTGTTTGAAATGGAAAGCAAAAACCTTGAAACTTCAAAACTCAGAGTTGATGGGGGAGGGGGAAAGTCTGAAAGCAAGAACAAAGGTGGTGGGTTTTTTGGTGTGTGTTTGGGGTTTTTTTTTTAATTTCCTCAAGGGAGACAGTTTGTCCTGTGTTAATGTCTTTCATGATTTTAAAGTTGAGCTAAACTGCATAGCTCCCTGAAATAACAGCCCTTGTACCTCAAGCTCTAGTTTCTGGCTTGGTCAAATCTAACTTCTAAGCCTGAAAGACAGACCAGGAAATGAGGTGTAGTGTAGCTTTCTTACAGTTTGAGGGCATCTTCCTTAAAGGAGAAGAGTATCAGCTTTTGCAGATTTCCATGTGTTATTCACACTCTTTTTTTTTTTTTTTTCCCCCTCCCACTGCCTTTGGATCTTTCACTCTTCCGTAAGCTGCTGCTTGGACAATGTGGAATTAGTTGCTGTAGAACATCTTTGGAGGAAGAGACTAGGTCCCACTTTACATGACCCTAGCCCAGGTGCCATGAGGAGAATGTGACTGAGAGTTTCAGGATGTAGTAAGGCTGTATAAAACTCACGTCCATTCCTAACTACGGCATCCTATAGCTCAGTGCCCTGATTAAAGGCTTTAGTTACTAACCTTGTGTTAGTAGGCTGGCCACATGAAACGGGGGAATGGTGCTGCTAAGTGATGGGGTTATGCAAACTGAGACACTTTTTGACTGTATACAGCTTAAAGCAATTTCTATTTTGACTGTTCTTAGGTCAATTTGGCAGTTAAAAGCCTACAATTGCTCTAAGAGTTTTGTTGTTATAAGCAGAGAGTACCCCTTAGGTTAGGCCTTCTAACTTCCAGGCCAGGTTTTAAACAAGGCTTACTTGATTTTTTTTTTTTAATTGTGAATTCTGCAATAATAGTGGACAAATAATCTACTCAGTACATACACACTACTTCTGCAGATACTTTTAAAGTGGTGTTTAATGTATATCTAACATCTCCATGGATGTGCTTTTGATTTCAGGAAAATAAAGAGAACACTAACGAACTGTCATGGGACCAATCAAGCAAAACCTCAGAAAAAAATGTTGTTATAAACTCTTCCACAGTCACACTGACAAATTCTGTGTCAGGGACAAACTATAATCCTGAAAATCATGCTTTCAAGGATGAAGTTACTGAAATAAAATCTCAGCACGTGTCACTTAGCAAGTCCTTTTTGCAAATAAAAAGCATAAAAGAGAAGCAATTGATTGCAGAAAAACAAAATTCAAGTATTAGCCTACCAAAGAAACCAGTGCCTGGTACATATCGTGGCAGAGTTATCCAATCCAAGATAAACTCCTTCCGAAAAGCACCAAAAAACGAGGGGGAAAAGAGTTCTTTGCCAGACAAGAAGCTTTTTCCTTCTGCCACCAAGCCATCAGTGAGTTCTTTGTCCATGAAAAGCTGTAGTGATGTTCTGAACACCGTCAAAGTCACCAAGAACCCTAATTCTGTAAAACCAAATGGCGCCCTCCCATTCCAGAGCAAACCACCCAACGAAGCTGCTATTAACTCACAGCCCGATCTGAAGAAATGGCAACCAACGTTTGCTGTGGCGCTAAAGAAAGTCACGGTCAAAAAAATGATTGACGGAAGGGGACCGCAGCCGCTGAAGGCTGCTTCTACCAATTCTGACTACAGAGTAGTAGGAGTGAAGAAACGACCAGTTTTTTGTGAAGATGCAAGACCAGAAGCTCCAGGAAAACCAATTTTTGTTGTTCCTGGTACAAAGTCAGGACAGAATTCTAAAACTAGTGGCAACAGAAAATCTGTTCTGGCAAAAGAACTGGCAGAAGAGAGAAGGTAACTGAATTCCTCACTGTCATAGCTTGATGCTGGAACGTGTTTAGACCTTCTTTCCAGGATTATCTATTTTGATCTGTTTCTTGCTGTAGATATGCTGAAAAATAAGAGAACTCAGTGTTTGAACTTGATTCCAAAGGGCAGCAGACTAAAAACTGTAGACTTGATACTGATAAGTCAGAATTCAGACTAATTGCCGCAGCTCTTCAGGCTTACAGCTTGTCCTGTGCAGTTATAAATAGAAAATGTGTATTGCTCAAGCTCTCTGGTTTTTTTTTTTAATTCTGTTGTGACAGCCTTAAGCATGACAGATCATCCTGTAAGTGAATTGCACGTGCATGCCACTGCTTTAAACAAAAAAAGCTTAATGATGAAGGATGAATAGAGAGATGAGCGTATTTGTGGACCATAGGAAAGCACTTTTCAATGAAATACGTTCCCACTTGGTGAATGCAGCTTAGACGATAGGGTGAAGGTTCATAATCTTAAAGTTATTTGCTATTCTTGGTGGTGGAGTCACCATCCCTGGAGGTGTTCAAGGAACGTGTGGACATGGCACTTGAGGCCATGGTCTAGTGGGTATGGTAGTGTTGGGTTGATGGTTGGACTGGAGGATCTTATAGGACTTTTCCAAACTTAATGATTCTGTGATTCTTGGTAGACCCCCTTGGATAAAGTCACACTTACTAAAAATTGGTGGTCTAGAGGGTTTAGGGTTTAAATGAAATGAAGATTGAATTACACTCATGCACGAGCTTCAGATACTAAAAGCTGTGCGGTGTTCTGGGCTGAGCTTCATGCTTTGCCTTTAGAGAGGATTTCTCGTCTGGTTTGAAGTGGCATTAAGAAAGAGGTGGCGTGGCTGAAGAATAAATCAGAAGCATTTTTACCCTCCTGATAAAAGGGTCTGTAGCCTAAGCCTCTTGTTACTGCTGGAAAGGGAGAGATTAAAGTGCTCTGACCTGACAGATATGTAAAGTAGATAGTGGTATGCATGGTTCTGAAACTTCTATGCAGGTCTAAATGGCAGCTGTGTTCTTTTAGGATTAAAGGGAGAGGACTTGAGGCTTATCTGGAAAGTATGTCTTTGTATGACTTAGCCTAGTTGGTGTTAGTCAATGTAAAAAAACGATAAGCCATCTATCGCTTCAGCTAACGATATTCTTAAATGCAGAGCTCGCCTGGATGAATGGAAGGCATCTAGAGGAAAAGTGATGAGGAGGCCTCCTATGGCTCTGCTTGTGGCACCCCAGTCTAAAAGTGAAGAACAAGAATTCTCTTCTCGTGATTCTTTAGATCATGTATTACAGGATGAGAAGGTCAACAAGACTCTGGCAGAATGTCTGCAGTTAACTGAACAGGTATTCAGGCCCTTGCCTACCAAGTTCTAATCATGCAAGTCCTGTGGGTATGCTGGACCGGTGAATCAGATGCTGGGGACTAATTGCTCCCAAAGTTAAGCAGTAACGTAGCTTTTTGCCAATGCCTGAAGAAATTAGTTCTCACTAAGCTGCACTAACTTACTGAATTATCCATTAAGATTAGACAATTAATAGTAGCATAATAAAGTAGAAAAGCGGCAGTGTCATGAGAGTACTTGTGAAGTAACTTATCTAAAACAAGTCTGCATTTGCAGAAACTTGCCTGGACTTCTGAAGAAGTCTGGTTTAGGTAGTTCTGAAGATGTCTGTGTTCTACTATCCCTTCCACTTACAACACTGCATAAATAACTCTCACCTGGAAGAACAGACGAATGACAATTCTGCTCGAGTTCATAGTTCAGTCTTAGAAATACTTGCCATCTTTAAGTTTCAGGGTTACTCTAAAGAAACTAAAAATACTTGCTTTCTAGGTCAAAACCAGATAAAATACAGCACCTCAAAATGTTCACTGCATTTAAATCTACTCCTGTGTTGACTTTAGGGATGTCGAGGCGATGAAGTGCGTGCTATGTTGGAAGATCTGACACGGACCGTTCCTGGGGTTAAAAATCTTGCAAAGTATTGGATCTGCTGTATACGCCTTGAACAGATGGGCCCTCTTGAAAAGCTTATTGCTGTCTATGAGGAGGCCATTTTGGCAGGAGCAAAGGTGAGGAGCTTGTCCTGAAGTTTGAGACTAACAAACATAAAGGCATGAAAGTATGGTGTACACAAAATACAGCTACTTCTGATTTTAATAAATCCTTTTCTAGTAGAAAGAAAGCCATGTGACCTACTTGAACAAAAAAAATGGATCTGGTTTGCTCTGTAATCACTGTAGATACTACTTTCCAGAAGAAAGGTGTAAGATCATCAGAATGTCATACGATGTTATGCCTACACTAAATTAAGGATTGAGACTTCTAGTATCACTAGAAATCCAAAATAGAACTTAATTTTAATATCAGCAAGATTTCAGGACATCAAATACAGCCTTAGTGCACCAACTATGAGGCTCACTTGTGTTCTGACTTATGTCTGAATGGCATTAAATAAAGGATTTGTAATGTGAACATCATGTGGTCTGTACCACTTTCCCTGTAACTTATACTAAAGAAGCTGAAATGATGATTAATTTTGGAGTTGTTTTTCTAAAACAATACAACTTCTTTCCAGCCTAAAGATGAACTACGGCACACACTACTACGTATTATGAAAAACACTGAAAGCCTTTTTAAGTCTGAGGATGGTAAGTCTGAGTACTTTGTTCTTGTTAGATGTCTGTCTTGACAGGCAATACAAGCTAATTATTTAAACAGTTTGTGCCTGTATTGAATTCTGTTAGTGGAAACTTCTCCGTGATAGTTTTGTATTCAATTGTCTTTGAAAACAACCTTGACTAAACTAACACTTAAAATGAGGAGTGCAGATGCTTTCATCCAAGTTCCTACTTAAACTCCATTAAAGCAGTGTTGTCCAACTATTTTAGCCTGATAATCAAAAATAGCATTCTTGTGAGGTAAAAGTCAGTTGCCTCTGACACAAGCTCCTTTGCTAGCAGGTGCACAGCTGTGTTCTGGCATAATGCCAATTAACGGCAGAAGCAAAGTAGCCATATAAATTCTCATTCAATATCATACTTGACAAATATTTGATCACAGAAAGTGACTGAAGTACTTGTTTGGGAAGGAAGAAATGACTTTTTGAGTTGTATTTAGCATGATTTCTCAGGGTGCGTGTTCTTGAAGGTGACTAAAATTGCTTGTAACTGAAATTGCAGTGGCTCAGACTCAAGGCGTACTTAACTTTCTCATTTAAAGCTTTTCATATTTTAGAAAGACTTCTCAAATCTTAACTTCTCTTTAGTTGTAACTGATCACAGCTGTACTTCAATGCTTCAGTTTTAGAGGCAACTGTGAGAGAAGCTCATTTAAGTGAGGTAGTGGAAGTCAGCAAGGAACCAATTTCATCTGCAGAGGAGGTTCAGGAGGCCTTCAAGGATCTTGGCTCTGATGGTGACCAAAAGGCAGAGAGTGATGACAAGAACGCAGAGACTAGCAGCGAAGTGGTCAAAAAAGAAGAAATGGATTTAGACTTGAAACCAAGAGAAGAGATCTTGCCAAAAAAGAGTAAGAAGCACAAAACTAAAAAACATACAAAAAAGAAAGGAAAATGTGAAACAGAAGAGCAGAATGAAGACAGGGTAAAAGATATACCCCAAGCAGTCAATTCTCTTGAGAATGAGGATGACACATCTTATTTAATGGGATGCAATCTACCTACCACACCATGCTTGGGAAGGTAAGATTACTTCAGGTAACTACAGAAGGTTTGTGGTGTCTGGCACAACAGTCACATTTGTCCTATTGAAACAGGGAGACACTGAATCTGTGAACACCTAGTTAAAACCTCTCAAGAACTTAGTTTCTTAGGATTGCTTCCTCCTCTTTCAGAAGGAAGTTTCTCTAAATAGATTTCTGTATTTACTCAAGCTGCTTTGCTTTTTGAATGTTTCACTAACCAAACCTCTTTGAGGCAGGGATGTAAAATCCAGGTTTAAGATCCCCCTCCTACAGCCCATGTGGCAGTAGTAGTTCTACACTGAGCTGGGTAAAGAGAAAGTAGGTGTTTCCAGTCCTCCCCTCTTCAAATGTAGATGTGGTTATGTCATACAATACTGAAGTGAACAAAATCTGTACAGGCCAGTGGCCTCAATTGTATTTTGAAGCAAAAATCTTAGGAAAAAGAGGCAACCTTTTAAATTCTTCTTTTTTTCTTCAAGTTTTCTTCTAAAATAGGAAAGTTGTGGTCAGCTTTGAAACCTAATGAAGCTGAACTCAGCAGTCTGCTATCCTTCACAGCAGGAAGAACAATTTCCCCCCCAATGGAGTTGGGAGTAAACATTCCTTTAGAAATGCTTTTCAGGAGGTTTTCCAGATTAAAATATTTTGCCCAAGAAAAGAGTTGTATGTCTGGTTTTAACTGTATTAATGGGAAAGGGCCTGTTGCCCTGTTTCCTTTAGCTATGGGAATGGCAAAGGGTTGAATAGGCATTGTGACTTGCTGTTTCTGCTAAATGCTCCAGGGGTAATTCAAAAGGTGGTGTGCCTGTGTTTTTAAGGATTTTTTTTTTTCCCCAAGGGTGAAGATGTACAATGAGGCAGATGACTCCAGTGCTAAAGACCTGAAACTCGTTACCCCTTTGCGGTATTCTCAACGCATTCGGGAGAAGATGTGCAAGGCGTTGGATACTGTCAGAGATCAAGATCCATGTGTCTCTTTGTCTGAGCAGCTGGGAGAATTGGAATCAAAAGCCACTCCACTTATCCACAAACAGAGCAGTGTGTTCAAAGAAACAAGTTCTGAAGTAGAAGAGTAAAAAGTACCATTAATGCTACATGGGAGTTGAGGATGGGGTCCTTCTTAAGGAGAGTTGGGGGGGAGGGTGTTTTTAGCAGCTTTGAGAGAGGAGGAACTATCTAAAACTTGGATGGATGGCTTAAGATGAAAATTGACTGTCTGAGTCACTGAACTTAGAAGTTTAAATGTTTCTATGTTTTCAGAGTTGTGGTAAATCTGGTTTGTTATAGTACTTACAAACATCAGTATCTTCATGTTAAGTAAGTTTTTGTTAAATATGATTCATTATACATTGATGTAAGGACTAGATTTAACACTTACTGTATTTTGATTGTAGTATATTGCTAATAACTCTTGGTTTACTCTCGCGAGTCCTATAGATTCTTTAGAATTACACAGTCCTTTAGTTAAAGAAAACAGACAATAATATTAGCATTCTGATAGGACAATGTCTAGTACTGCAACACTTAGTTTTAAAAACTGAAAACACCTAGTAAGGTGCACACTAAGTTTAAACCTGTATCCATTTTTAGGAGTTTTGTTGAAATACCTAAGTTTAAGGTCTTTAGTTATTGGGATTATTCATGGTAAGTCATCTCCCTTATGTGAGATCTGATACACTAATTACTGTGTGCTGTTCTAATGCTGGTTTGCATTAGCCTGTAATATGGTAGACTTATTAAACTAATTAAATAAGTTAGAGTTGTTCTTTATTTATAGGCTTTAGGCTGGAAACTAATTGTAGAACATGATGATGTTCCAGGCCGGAGACCGGAATTCTGAAATATTCTGTTAGTCTGTTCATGGAGTGAACTGTCAGAGCGGAACATCATGAAATTTTTCCTGTTCAGAAGCTGGTGGTTTCTGTATCTTCAGTATGCAGAGTTAATGTCGACTCTAACTTCAGTCTTGAATGCTCAGCTAATGCTTCTGTGTTAAACAGACCTTGGTCCTTATAGCTAGTTAGGATCTTCCATTTGCAGAAGGGACATGCTCTCTGCATCTAACAAAAACTAAACTTTTAAGTGTACTGCTGCACTGTTTTCTTCAGAGAACCCCCATGATGGCTGATGAGCAAGTCCAAGCACCCACCTGTTACTACAAGGAGTAACACAGGACTGAGCATGTCGCAGTCAGGACACGGTCTTGGCAGGCACTTCTGGTTCTGTGTTGTGGAGGATGTAACCGCTGCGTGTCGTGGTTTGCGTGCTGACCAGGGCATCTGTGTTGGGCCAGTTCTGCTGCTGTAGACAGTGACTGAGACTGTATGGAGTCAGCCTTAGGCTGCCTTTTTTTTTTTTTTTTTAAACCTGGGCGTTTACAAAGTGAAAATTCTTTTTCCAACATGGAAAACTAAATTACGGAAATCACTCTGCCCATGGAACTGTCAAAGACTTCTATGCTTTGCAAGCAGCTTTAACTGGTTTTGTCTGTCCTGCTTCCTTACCTTTTATTACAGAATATCCTGTAATTAAAGCTTTACTTACACTTCCTTACCTACTGATCATGTTTCCATAGATAAAAAACAAGGTTAAAGCACAGTCCCCAGGGCCTAAGGCTTCATTTAGTTGAGTCGCTAGTGCCAGGATCTGGCCCAAATAAATCTCTGCAATTGAGAAACTGATTGTGAAACTGCTATTGGGGTTTTGTGCCACGTGAAGTCTAAAGAGACTCTTGAGGTACTAACACGTCTCTTACTGAGGTGCTGGGCGGGGGGGGGCAGTTTATTATTAACAAATACCGGGTATAAGCCCCGTTGGCTTGCTCTGAGGAACTAAAGCCACAAAGCCCAGGCGCCATAGCCGCACGCGGCAGGGAGGGGCCAGGCGGCCC